CCAACAACGCAACAACACAGAGCTCGGACGAACCTAGAAGCGGAGGTGCCCATAACTACTAAGTAGGCGCTGGACGCGGAAGAGGAGAGCCGCGCAACAACACTTGGGTAAGAAAGCCCACCAGCTACGACGAAAAAGCGTTCTGCGAATATCACCAGACCTACGGGCATTCAACGCCACAATGCCGAACTCTAGGAGCCAAACTCACGGCTAAGATGGCGGTAGGAGAGCTCCAGAACGTGGTGAATCTCAAAGACCTCATCCGTAGTGAACCAAAAAAGGGAACCAAGCCGAACGGGACGGCAAAACCCGTAATTCTACCCCGACAAGGCGAAAACGCCAAGCGTGACAGGAGTGGTGAACCCGGCCCGAGCCGAGACAAAAGATCAACATGATCATGGGTGGATCTCAATATTACCAAGACACGGTGTCTTCCATCAAGGCTTATCAACGCCGAGCCGAAGGAAAATTGGACAGAACCGACCGATATTCTGAATACAGTGATCTCCTTCGCCGAGGAAAAACGGCAGGAATAGATAGACTGCACAACGATCCATTGGTGATCGAATTGATGATCAGGGACCACGATGTAGCGAGGGTACTCATCGATACTGGGAGCTCGGTAGACGTCATTTTCAGGGAGACACTCAGAAGGATGAGAATCGATCTTTCCGAAGTGACGGCGATCCCCAAACCTCTGACCGGATTTTCAGGAGAAACAACGATGAATATGGGCACAATTAGGCTCCCTGTGGTAGCTGGCGGAGTCACTAGGATCGTCGAGTTCTGCGTCACCGATCACCCGGCAATCTACAATGTGATTATGGGAACTCCATGGATCAACGCGATGAGGGCAGTCCCTTCCACCTATCACCTCTGCCTCAAGTTCCCAACTCCAGCAGGCATCAAAACAATATGGGGAAACCAGAAGGAGTCGCGAATGTGTTGTTTGGCGGAACACAAGTTGAGGAACCCCGTCAACGACGCACGAGCAGACGTGGATCGCAAAAAATTGAAGACGGACCAAGAGCCTGCGAACGAGCTCTCGAAACTCTTATAGCAATTACAGATCGCGGAGAGCCGCGAAAAGCGCGCCAAGCCGGTATGCGATGCTGTGGACTCGGTGTGCATTGACGAGGCGTGTCCAGAACGACGCGTCGAAATCGGATCTAAGCTAGAAGAGCCTCTAAGAAGCGAGCTTTTCTCCCTCCTCAAGGAAAATATCAACACTTTTGCCTGGACGACAGAGGATATGCCAGGCATAAGCATCGACGTGACCTGTCACAAACTGAATGTAGACCCAACCTTCAAACCAATCAAGCAAAAAAGAAGGAAGCTCGGACCCGAACGAGCTAAAGCAGTTAACGACGAAGTGGAGAGATTGCTCAAAGTAGGATCAATCGCCGAGGCCAAATACCCGGACTGGCTTGCGAACCCGGTGGTTGTGAAGAAGAAGAACGGCAAGTGGCGGGTCTGTGTAGACTTCACTGACCTCAACAAGGCGTGCCCAAAAGATAGTTTCCCGCTACCACACATCGACCACCTCGTCGAAGCCACCGCGGGAAACAAGTTGTTAACATTTATGGACGCGTTTTCTGGTTACAACCAAATTCTGATGCATCCCGACGACCGGGAAAAAACGGCGTTCATAACCGATCGCGGAATCTACTGCTACAAAGTCATGCCTTTCGGACTCAAGAACGCAGAGGCAACATACCAACGGCTCGTCAATAAAATGTTCGCAGATCAGCTTGGAAAAACCATGGAGGTATACATCGACGATATGTTAGTCAAATCACTCGAGGAGAAAGATCATATCGCGCACCTACGAGAATGTGTTGAGCAGTTGAACAAACACAACATAAAACTAAACCCGGCGAAGTGTAGATTCGCGGTAACCTCGGGAGAATTCCTCGGCTACTTGGTCACTCACCGAGGCATTGAAGCGAATCCCAAGCAGATCAAGGCATTAATCGAGATGCCCTCTCCAAGGACAAAGCGAGAGGTTCAAAGGCTCACACGAAGAGTCGCTGCGCTAAACAGATTCATTTCTCGTTCTACCGACAAGTGTCTGCCTTTCTACAACACCCTTCGAGGAAACAAGAAGTTCGAGTGGGACGAGCGATGCGAATCAGCTTTCCAAGAGTTGAAGAGTTATCTGGCGAGCCCGCCGATCCTGTCGAAACCAGTTGAAGGAGAGCCTCTCTTCCTCTACATCGCCGTATCTGCTACAACTGTAAGTGGGGTGCTGATTAGAGAAGAGCGATCCAAGCAGAAACCCATCTTTTACGTCAGCCAGACACTGACGGATGCCGAGACCCGTTACCCCCTGATCGAGAAGGTCGCCCTAGCCGTCGTAGTATCGGCTCGCAAGCTGCGCCCGTATTTTCAATCACATTCGATTGTTATGCTCGCTACACTTCCGTTGCGCTGGATTCTACACAGCCCGAGCCAATCCGGGCGGCTCGCCAAATGGGCCATAGAGTTCAGCGAGTACGACAATGAGTATCGGAACAGGTCATCTGCAAAATCACAGGTGCTCGCAGATTTTCTCATCGAACTTCCGGCCGAGGTGACGATCGAGCCAACCCGAGACGAAATATGGATACTGCACGTCGACGGCTTGTCGTCTAAGCACAGGTCGGGAATAGGAATCGGTCTCACCTCTCCCACCGGGGAAATATTGGAGCAATCTTTTCGTCTGAATTTCCACGCCTCGAACAACGAAGCAGAATACGAAGCACTGATCGCTGGGATATGACTGGCGCAGGGAATCGGAGTTCGAAAGATAAGAGCCTTTTGTGATTCACAGCTCGTAGCATGTCAATTCAACGGGGAATACGAGGCGAAGGACGGACGAATGGGACCTTACCTCAAAGTGGTCTGAGATTCGGTGCAAAAGTTCGACGAGTTCGAGCTCACACGAATACCCCCAAGGTGAAAACACCTCGGCAGACGCCTTGGCGGCACTTCGACTTCAGATCCGGATCTCCGACGGACAATTCCAGTCGAATTCATCGAACGCCCTAGCATCGAAGAGGTAGAAGGAGTTCGGCTGATAAATCCTCCCGAGTAGGAACCAGAGGGCGGCGAGGCAATCGCTATGGACGAAGACGCCTCACCAGCCGAGCTGGAGTACGGCTGCGACAAAGAATGGCTCGGAGCCATCCGAGTATATATTGCCGATGGAGAAGTACCAACCAACAAGTGGGAAGCCCGCAAATTAAAAGCTCAGGTCGCGCGATACGTCCTCATCGATGGCGAGGTGTTTAAATGGAGATTTTCAAGACCACTCATGACATGCGTCGAGGGACCGGAGGCAAGAAAGATCATGCACGAAGTACACAGAGGCGCGTGTGGAAACCATTCTAGCGGAAGGTCACTCGCGATCAAGATAAAACGGCACGGTTACTTCTGGCCTACGATGGTCAAGAACTGAAATAAGTTTACAGCAAAGTGCGAGAAGTGTCAACGGCACGTGCCTACAATTCACCAACCTACCGAGCTGTTGTCATCGATCTCGTCACCTTATCCTTTCATGAGATGGTCGATGGATATAGTCGGACCTCTACATCGATCGAAGCAGAAGCGCTTTCTGCTAGTCCTCACGGATTATTTTTCTAAGTGGGTCGAAGCCGATTCCTACGCGAGCATAAAGGACGCTCAAGTCGAACACTACGTCTAGAAAAATATCATATGCCGACACCGAGTCCCCTACGAGATAGTCACCGATAACGGATCCCAGTTCATCTCAACGCGTTTTGAAGCTTTCTGCGAGAAATGGAAAATCCGTTTGAGCAAATCTACGCCAAGATATCCTCAAGGGAACGGACAAGCTGAAGCAGCCAACAAGACGGTCTGAAAAAGAGGCTCGACGCCAAGAAGGGACGACGGGCAGACGAGCTCAAAGGAGTCATTTGGTCGCATCGGACAACTCCGCGCCGAGCCACCGGAGAAACTCCATTCGCTCTAGTCTATGGAGCGGAATGCGTGATCCCCCCCGAGGTGGATTTCCCAGGTATTCAATGAAGACTTCTACCGGGACAAGAGGGCTTGAACACCTAATGATGCTGGACGAACTCGATTTGGTCAACGAAAAGCGCGACCAGGCTCTAATCCGAATCCAAAACTACCAACAAGCGACGGCGAGATACTACAACAAAAATATCCGAAGTCGAAGATTTAAAAAAGGAGAGCTCGTTCTTCGAAAAGTTTTCCAAAACACTGCCAAGAAGAATGCAGGAAAGCTCGGAGCAAATTGGGAAGGACCTTACAAGATTACAAAAGTAGTTCGCCCAGGAGTCTACGAACTTGCGACGGTAGCTGACGAAGCAATTCCAAGATCATAGAATGCAATGCACCTGAAGAAGTATTATCACTAAGGCTACAACACGATCAACATGAACTACGGGACGGCTTGATCCCTGCAAAGGGTACGTAGGCAGCCCGTCCTCGGATGGGTTCAGCTGTCTAAAAAGGGGGAGGGGGAGTGGGTACGTATACACATACCTTCATTTAACTCTACAATTTTAGCTCGTCTTCCATCTCTAGGATCATTGCCACTTCGGCCAATTTTCATTCGTTTTAAATCAGCTACTTATTTCATGTTCGCCTCGGATTTTTTAATTCGTTTATTCGTCACTTCGGCAAGTTATCATCATTAATGTACACTTCTCCTAGACTTTTACTTATCCTTGCATTCACTTCGGCAAACTAAGTCTCCAAACACCTCGCCTCGTTGCTGGCCACAGCGAGGCAACAGTCACAAAGTCCTCTAAATGGACTTTTAACCACCTTTCCTAGGACGAGGGTGCAAGTTACATCCTCTATGGATTAAAAGCAAGCGTGCTATACAAATTTAAGACCAAAAACGTATCGGTCACCACGGTTTGTCATCGCACACGAGATTGTAAGTCGAGACTACATCGCTTTCTCTAAAACCGAAACGAACTCTTAAAACCCGGCTAAACAAGGCATTCTTCGCACGCTTGACCTTAGCGTCAAACAAGGCATCCTTGGCCTCGATACGCCAAGGATGCCTTGGACAGGTCCGCCTCGTACTCAGCCATCAGCTCGTTTATGGCCGCTACAAACTGCAAAGAATACTACGCGTTAAACACTTAGTCAGAATTTAATAAAATAAGGAGAGTAAGCGGACAATACCTTGGTGCCGCGCTGTGCCATCGCACCATAGGACCTTGGCCTCCTAAGCTTCTCAGGAGGAAGACGCGTGTTAGCATTGTTGACACGCGAGAACTTCACCGCCGAAGCGTCTGGGTCGTCGACATCCAATTGCGCGAAAGCGGGATCTCCGGAAGCCAGTTTGCGTTTCTTTTTAGGCGGCTCATCTTTCTGAACAGCCACGCTTTTCCCTTTATCAGCGGCCGAACGTTTTCGGCCGGAATTGTGCTTCTGAAGATGCGAAGCCGGGGATCTCGACGACTTCGGAAGAGTCACGATAGCAGAGTTGGAAGGAGTTTTACTCCGCGCCGCGGAGTCATCTTTGGGCGCCTCAAGAATGATTTCACCCGGTTCCACCTCGGGCGCCACTTCTTTCTCGTTCACCTCGGCAACGTTCGCCCCCACAGCTCGGGACGTGCCCTCACCATCACGGCTCGGCAGAACATCTTGAGGAACAGCCTCGGCCTCCGTTTGATCCGCCTCAGCGGCTCGTCTCGCAGCTTCTTCTTCTTCACGCCTCTTTTTATCTCTAAGAGTAATGATCACCATTTTCTCCCTTGTGTCTCCTGAGGAATTTGAAGACGAAGAGCTAACAGGAACTCCGGCAAGAATGGCTCGCGCTCTTTCCACTCTCTCGAATGTAAAATGCTTCCTCCAATTAACTCACCGAGCCGCAAGAGAATCTCGGACAACAAAGAGGTCGTCGGGAACTGGGGGAAGAATGTTCCGAACTGCAAAAACAACACGAAAACAATCAGCTCAGTAAGGGAAGATTATATGATAACAGTTCCGAGCCGGGGCAAAGCTTCGGATCGGCTACCAAGTGGTCCCCAGGCGGTCTTGGTTTTTTGAACGTAATCCTCGCCAACTGACGCCTCGTTCACCAAGACATAGAAAAAGCGCTCGGTCCAAAACTGATCCTTGCTTGGAAAACCACCTATGATCCGGCGATTGGACTTGTTGGAGATATAAAATCTGTCTCCCTTCGGAGCTTTTCTGATCTCCAACAAGTTTAGCTGGTGATTCGGTTCAATATCGAGCCCGCATTCAAAGCTTCGAACCAGAATGCCGATCATGTGTCACAGACCCCTCGACATAATCTGCCCGATCGAGATCCCATGTTTCCAGAAGTACTCAAGGATAACTCCGGGGATCGGAAACCAGAGAAAACAAAGCTCAAAGAACGCCTCGTACAGAGTGAAGTGATTCTCAAGGGGTTTGTCAGCTCGGTCATTCTTTTCTGGAAGGACGAATTCTACCGCCTCGGATATCCCGAAACGACATCTCAACGCCTCGAGTGAGTCAGGGGAGGAGAGCGTAGAGCCGGGCGGGTCAGGTTTTTGTCTTTTCACTCGCTTTTGCTTCCCTTGCCCAGACGAAGAAGCACCTCGGAACGCCATGAGACGTTCTAATTCAAGCTTCGCCTCAAACAGATCAAAGGGAAATGCTTCCTCCTCAGCTTTCACTGCGGCATAATTAACATCTTCGTCATAAGCGGGACCCTGAGGGCGGCTCGTCGAAACCGACGGCTCGTTATCTGGAGAGCGAGCGCCTGACGGACTTGAGCGATTCGACGCCTCGTCGCTTTCGGATGAACGGTTGGAAGGGCTCGGCGAGATAGATTCCTCGGAGGATCCTGTTACACCTCTCACCTCGGCGTCTACACGATCGGCTCGTAGTTAAAGAGTTAATCTAATGAATCGTTGGAATGGTTCGACATGATTTACAGCTGGTACGGAAAATACAATACTACGCAGCCAACTTTCGTCGGAAAAAGATCTGAGGCGGCGGAGACCTCGGAACCCTAGCCGGAAAATAAATAAACTAGAGAGAGAAAGAAGATAGAAGGGAGAGCTACCTTTTAGTGAAAACGAATGGGTCTGAAGATTATGAGGAGGAACGAAGGAGCTCACCTATTTATAGAACAACCGAAGCGCGTGAAGTCCGCATGGACCTCGAGATGGCACAAAGGTGTTCAATTAGGGCGCGTGAAGTCCGTGGCGAATGCAAAACCTCATGGCGCGTCCGTCACACACGCCAACACTCAAGATGTCTTGGAAAAGAACTAACAGCCGCTAAATGTTTCCCGTGCGGAGCTGTCCAGGTAAACCGAGCCCACAACACAGCTATGGTTATCTGAGAATATCTTATCAAGCTGTGTGAACCAAACCGTGCTTTGTCGATACGGCTCGATAATTTCATAAGAACGCCTCGTCATTATCGTTAACACGAAACGGCTCGGCAACTTTATTAGCATAAAGGCCTCGTCGTTACCTTGAAACACGGCTCGGCATTATTAGCATAAAGGCCTCGTCGTTACCTTGAAACACGGCTCGGCATTATTAGCATAAACGCCTCGTCGTTACCTTGAAACTCGGCTCGGCATTATTAGCATAAAGGCCTCGTCGTTACCTTGAAACAAGGCTCGACATTATTAGCATAAATGCCTCGTCGTTACCTTGAAACACGGCTCAGCATTATTAGCATAAAGGCCTCGTCATTACCTTGAAAACGGCTCGGCATTATTAAGATAAACTCCTCGCCGTACCTTGAAACACGGCTCAGCGTTACTAACGAAAACGCCTCGCCGACACTTTGGAATACGGCTCGGAGCGACCTACGCCAGAATGCCTCGGCATAAACTCCGCCAGAACAGCTCGGTAATCTTGTCTCTGATACGTCTCGCCTATAATCATCCCACGACAAACTCGACTCGATGGTTAATTCCACAACTAGGAATGATAAATCTCGTCACTCTCACCTCTGAAACTGACGAGCTGGGGGGCTAACTGTTGGGGTCGGTTTCATCTCAACCAGTTTAAACCATTTGAAGAATAAATTAACCATCGGGAGAGCCGATTTGACAAGGGCGAACCCCCACATAGGAGGAGTAGGCCGAGCTGTACCCAATATTACAGATGGGCCGAGCCGTGAGGAGGTGATGGGCGAGCCGCGCATGAGAGAAGATAGGTCGAGCCATACACAAGTGAAGATGGGCCAAGCTGTGCAAGAAGGAGAATGGACCGAGCCGTTACCTTTCGTAATTGGGCCGAGCTGATTCTCCCGAGATGGGCTGAACCAAAGCCTTGAAGGACGAAAGCCCATAAAAACCCTAGGCGACGCCTTGAGGCGGTGGCCGCACGAAGCGATAAGGAAATATTCCTAAAATCTCTCTCGAGATTCTCGGCTGGGCGGTTTAAGAAGTTAGTATAAATAGAAGATTTACACGATTCATTATGTAACTTTTTGCAACCCTAAGCAATAAAGACTAAATACTTTCACAGCAATAAAAACCCTCCTTCGATCTTCCTGTTCTTGCGACCACCCTAGAAATTTCGAATCCCTTAAGTTTTTCTTACAAATTTTTGGTTGTGCGAGTTTTGGCGCACACATTTGGTCTTGTAATCCATCGAGAAATTGAGCCATGAGGGTCTCCTCGGTGTCAGCTAACTCAAGTCGGTTTCTGAGTTGCTCAGACTCCTTAAAATATTCCTCAACAGATCTATTTCCCTGCATCAACTTTCGAAACTTCTTTTGTAAGTCTCTATGAAAATGTGGTGGCGCATACCTCTTTCTCAAGCTGAATTTAATGGCGTCCCAACTAGTGATCTGTTTATAGTGGTGCCTCCTCCTTTCAGACTCGTCTCAATCCCACCATGACAATGCATGGTCGATTAGTTGAGCCGCATCAAAGACACCTTCTTCTGATCATTGTAAGAGTATTAATCAAAGATATGTTCCATCCTCCGATCCCACTCCAAGTAAGCTTCAGGATTTACCCTGCCAACAAAAGTAGGTGCAGTCAGTTTGATGTCATTGTGACTCTGTCGATTACCTTCACCATCACGGTTTCGGCCTTGATAGATTTAAACAAAGTAACAATGAAAGGAACAAAACACCAAGTAACAAGGAATTGAAAAGGATATATATCATCTGATGTTAGAACCTTTCAGCTCTGATACCAAACTGATATAAGATCAAGGGTGATGGTATGAATGTATCCAAATGATTGGTCAAGAGGCTCTCTTCACTTAGAGAATATATGGTCCAGTGTGGAGAGGTGGAACCCAAGCAATTGGCCAAGAGGCTCTCTTTGCTTAGATTGGTGTATGAACGGTGAACAAGTAACCAAAGGGGATCGATGTGACGCCACACAGCTGATGGAGGGGCTGTGATAAGTCGGTGAACTCAAGAACAAAGGGGAACCCACTCAGTGTTCAAGGACTCGGACAAGAGGCAGCTGCTCTAAGAAAATATGATCTTTATTGATTTAGGGTAAAAGGTTGTGTTGTACAATGCCGCATATGGGACTTTATAAACAGTCATTCGGCCTTGACCTTCTAGGGTCGACTCTAGACTCAAAAGGAAAAGAAACTTGTGTTGAACTCTTTAAAATGTAAATAAACGGAAAAGAGGAAACAATTCTAAAGTTTCTTACTCGATTTAAAAGACAAAATAACTAAAGGACTTAAAACAAAACCTGCAAAACAAAGAAGAAGGAAACTCGTGAGGTAATAAGTTAAACACTCACCTTGGTGTCGTTTTGACACTTAGTCGTTGGCAGCTTCAATGATGAAGATCATGCGAGCTCCTTGTGTCTTTAGTAGAGGTCACTCTGTTGTTGGTGTAGGCATGATGCTTGTGTCTTCTTGCTCCTCAAGCTCTTGGCTCCTCTCTAGTTGATCTCCATCTTTTATAAGTAGCATCTTCTTCTCGGATATTCCCATTGCTACTTGGTTAAGAAGAGGCTGGTCGATGCTAAGTTGATCAATGCCTTTGGTGATGTCTTCTAGGCTGCTTTGATTGATTAAGGTGTACATAGCAGTGTTGAAATCTTCTCTCAGCTTCCTTAGTCTTGATCTTGTCCTCGGTGGGTTCTTCATTGTTGGAAAAATATCTTTAGAGGCCATTTCCTCATCAATGTGTGTGTGCAGGCAGGGACATATGTGCTTCAAGCCACAATTTTATTTAGTAATTTAGGAGCCACGCTTAGAAATGTGATCATGTAAGTATATTGCAACTTCCATTGTCATCACATCCCACAGTTTGGTTAATATCATGGTTTGTGCTTTATTTTTTAGTTTTTTGTTTCTTTTTATTACTCAGTTTTAAATTTGAAATCTGAAAATCAATTTTAAGTAAAAATATGATAATAATAGTGTAATTTTATTAGTAACTAAATAATGTCTATAATGTTAGACATTATCATTTTTTACTTCAAATATTATTAGGCCACAATAATTTTTTAGCTATAAGCCACACAAAAATACGGGCGAGCACTGTGTGTGTGTAAAAGCCAGTGATGTATATAAATATTATGTTACTAGGAAAAAGGAGATAAAAATGCATGAGCTAGGTTTATGTCGGGTGTCCTTCCTCCATTAATCTCTAGAGAAAGCGTCCAATGTAACTTTCGTTATTATCTCAAAATATTTTTTTTACATAGAAATTTTGGGAAAGATGTTACAAAAATAAAAAAATTAAGACAAAAACACCAAGATATCACAAAAAGAAGAAAATAAAAATCGACAATTGCTTTAGGAAGAATTAATTAAAGTTGAGTGATGCTTCCTAAATATTTTGTGATATTTGGCGTGCTTGGAAATAAATGTGGAAGAAACACTCTCTCAGCGTATCAGATTAGATTGAATAGTTTTATTTGTTGAACAAAAAAAAGAATAGTTTTATTTATTAGACCGTATAAAAAGAAATTAAATAGTTTTTTGGATTCAGCCAATTAATTAGTTTTTGTAATAAGGAAAGATTTGCAGCTTTGGTTCCCCAACCTGCAAATTGTGAACATAGACAACGTCTGCATTTCCATTTGAGTAACACAAACCCCATACAAATCTTTAGAGACATTCACACACACACACACACACAAACATGCTTAATCTCACACAATTAATTTACATGTTAAATTTCGATATAATCTTAGAGTAATTAAAAAGAAAGAAAAAGAAGAAGTTTCATTATCAAAAAAAAAAAAAAGAAGAAGTTTAAAAGTGGACTAATCTAGACGTTGTACCGGATATTAGTATCATCACCAGAGAATTTGTTCTTGATCCATTTGAAACTGCTCTTGAGACTGTTCTTGAGCTTTTCCTCGGTGGCAAAAAGGTTATAAGAAGCGACTCTCTTCTTCCTCTTAATCTCAGGATCTGTGTTGATGCAAGGTCCATTGAAATTATAGGAGTTTGTGCGGTTCTGATCGTAACCGAATTCGTCAGTTGAGAAAGACGACGAATACTCCGTGTAAGACTTGCTTCCCTTCATCATCTTTAGGCTCTTTTCCTTTAATCTTTGTTATTGCAACTTCAAAGCAATTACTGTTTGCTCTCTCTCTCTCTCTCTCTCTCTCTCTCTCTCTCTCTCTCTCTCTCTCTCTCTCTCTCTCTCTCTCTCTCTCTCTCTCTCTCTCTCTCTCTCTCTCTCTCTCTCTCTCTCTCTCTCTCTCTCTCTCTCTCTCTCTCTCTCTCTCTCTCTCTCTCTCTCTCTCTCTCTCTCGGCTCTCTCTTGTTATAGCTTATGTGAGCAAAGTAGCTTACTACACTTCTCAAATGAGATTGGTTATAAATAAATGGAGGTAGCATGGTTTAGGTTTTAAACGTAAATGGAAATCAAAACCGAATCCATTGATTATCGTACCAAACCAATTAGTTTATATGATGATCATTTGCTATTGATCACTATAAAAATACAATTTTCAACTATACATGACTAAATAATTTTTTTAACATTGTTGATCACACATATGAACCTCAACCATTTTTGTTTTTGACTTTAGGTCAGACCAATTGGATCGGTTAAATCAAAACCGGGTTTAAAAACAATAGTGTAATGATGGTATGGGTGGGTGAGGTGGCAAAGCATGTGTGATGTTATAGTAGGTTACAGGATGGTGTAGCAAGAAATTATTATCTACTACCTTCTTTAAGTGTGGACCCAATTTTGAAGTCTATTTTTGCATGCCACCATCAATTGTTATGATTATACCAAAAGAAATTGTTCAAAAAATATTTCAATCTTGATATATCATACATATTGAACAAAGAACGGTTGATTATTTTTTCCCAATAAATGTAGTCAAATTCTCTATATCTAATATGGTAGGTATATACAGGAACATATATGAAATCCAATGATATTAAATTTCATATCATACACTTGGATCAATCGACTAAAAAGAAAAAGACAAAGTGGAGACAAGACTATATAGAGAAAGGACCCAACATGTCTAAAGCTGAATTGTCAAAATTAAATTTCATAAAAACAAATAACATAAAGTCGAACTCTTTTTTCTATATAGAAATTTGGATTTGATGAAGGATTAAATTTGAAAGCAATGACTCGGAATTCCACATATATTGGTTGTGGCCAAGTTGGTTCTATGTGGGGCTCTTAATAAGTTCTCTTCTAATTTGTTAAAAACAAAAGTTATCATGTCTTCATACGTTTTTAATGTCAAGTATATTTATATTCACACCCACTTTCTCTGTTTCCATGGATCATTAAATGTAATGTTTGGTTGGTAACCATTCAATGAATGACACGTCAATTGTCTATAAGTAATAATCAAATCATGATGGAGAATTGCATAGAAAACAATGCTTTTGTTCTTGGAAGGTAGTATCTCAAAAAGAAATTTTATGTTTTCTGGTAATAAACGAGATTAGAGATGTATAAAACATGGTGTAGAATGTATCTATAGAAAGGATAGATTAGTCAATAGTTAATCCATAATTCTCTGTTGTAATCACTATAAATATGTAATCTTTGTATCTAATGAATCTTTGTATCTTTGTAATCACTGCAACTAAGACATCTCAAGCAACTAAACTTTCTTTTTCTCCGCCGTCAGCCAAAAAGACGTCGACGAAAAGGAGGACCCGTCGAACTCGTAATCATCATTAATGTTGATATTCTTCTGGAATATTAGGGGACTCAACAAAGTACATAAGCATAATGTAGTTCGAAGTTGGTGTTTACAAAATAATTTCGAGTTTGGTGCTCTGTTAGAAACTCGGGTGAAGGAATCAAGGTCTGCGCTGGTTCTATCGTCAATGTTTCGTGGATGGTCTTTCATGAACAATTATGAGCATCACCGATTAGGACGAATTTGGATAGTTTGGAAGGATTGGGTTAGAGTTACTCCGTTTTACAAAACTTCACAGCTGATATCTGTTCTAGTGAAGCTTCCGACTGAGGAGAATGAGTTCCTGTGTACATTTGTCTATGCTTCTAACTTTGAAGATGAGAGGAAAGTGCTCTGGGATGATCTGAGGAGTCATTCAAGTTCTCCAATCCTGCGAAAGTTGAAATGGGTTGTCATGGGAGATTTTAATGAGATTATGGAAACAGAGGAGCGATCAAACTCGGATACTTATACGGGTTCTGATTCTGGTATGTATGATTTTCAAAATATGGTACGGGACTGTAGCCTTACTGACATGGGTTATCATGGACCCTTATATACTTGGGGCAACAAGAGGTTGAATGGTCTTGTCTGCAAGAAGCTGGACAGGGTATTGGTAAATGATATTTGGTTGATGAATTCTCCCTCTTCGTACAGTGTTTTTGAACCAGGTGGTTGCTCTGATCATCTCCGTTGTCGAGTATATCTAACTCCAGGTATTATCACCACAAGAAAGAAACCTTTCAAGTTTGCAAATGTGGTCACTTCTCTTCCGAGTTTCAAGACCAAGGTTGCGGAATACTGGGGTACTACCACACCTTTATATATCTCGACATCAGCTTTATATCTTTTCTCCAAGAAGTTAAAAGAACTTAAAGGGGCTATCCGTATTATATGCGTGAAAACTTGAATAATCTGTCGATGAAGGTGAAAGACAGTTTTGAAACACTGTGTGATGCGCAAGAGTTGACCATGGTACTGCCGACTACTGCTAATCAGGAGAGCGAAAAAGCAGCTCTTAAGCGTTGGGAACACATTTCAAAACTAGAGGAAGGCTACCTGAAACAGAAGTCTAAATTACACTGGCTTAATGTGGGAGATAGATGTACAAAGGCTTATCATTGTGCTATAAGAGTAAGGGCGGCCAAGAATGGAATAAGAGAGATCAGAACTCAGTCAGGGGTAATTGTTACAGGCCAAGAGGAGATAAAAGGAGAAGCAGTGAGATTTTTTGAAGGCTTTCTGAATACAGTTCCGCAGAATTTTCAACAAGTGGAAGAGGATTTCCTATCCGAGCTGCTGAATTTTAAGTGCTCGCCGATGGACAAAGATGTGTTAATCAGGGATGTGACAGAGAAGGAAGTTTATGATGTTTTATTTGCTATGCCTTGTGGTAAATCACCTGGACCAGATGGTTATACTGTTGAGTTCTATAAATCAGCTTGGCCGATTATTGGTAAGGACTTTGTGGTTAGCATTCAATCTTTCTTTGCTAAGGGTTTCCTGCCCAAGGGAGTGAACTCCACCATCCTTGCTCTCATACCGAAAAAAGAAGAAGCAACAGAAATGAAGGACTACAGACCCATCTCCTGCTGCAATGTCTTATACAAGGTCATATCTAAGATTATAGCAAATCGATTAAAGCTAATCCTACCCCTGTTTATAGCTCCAAATCAATCTGCCTTTGTAAAAGATAGACTTCTTATTGAAAATCTTCTACTAGCATCTGAGCTTGTGAAGGATTATCATAAGGAATCCATCTCTCCTCGCTGTACTATGAAGATAGATATCTCCAAAGCGTTTGATTCTGTACAATGGGATTTTCTGCTCACCTTTCTCAGAGCTCTAGACTTCCCCCCACAGTTTATTCACTGGATCAGGCTGTGCATATCATCAGCGTCTTTCTCTGTTCAAGTTAATGGGGAACTAGCTGGTTACTTTGGGAGCAAGAGAGGCCTTAGACAAGGATGCTCATTGTCCCCATACCTTTTTGTTCTGTGTATGAATGTTCTATCTAAGCTGATTGACAAGGCTGCAGTTGAACAAAGAATAGGTTACCACCCCAAATGCAAGGAGTTAGCTCTCACACATCTTTGTTTTGCTGATGATTTGATGGTCTTTTCAGATGGAAGTTTGGCTTCTATGGGAAATATCATCACGGTTTTTGAGGATTTTGCGAAGCTATCAGGGCTCCAAGTTAGCTTAGAAAAGTCGACTGTGTTTCTGGCAGGTGTTGCTGGGGATCTCCGTATAACAACACTTGCGAATGTGCCCTTTGTTGCTGGAACTCTCCCAGTCCGCTACATAGGACTACCTCTCCTTACCAAAAAGATGACCAAAGTGGATTATGCTCCCCTCATAGATGGAATCAGACGAAGAATTCATTCTTGGGCAGGTCGTTTTCTCTCTTTTGCAGGCCGTTTACAGTTATTAACCTCTGTAATCTGTGGACTAACAAATTTCTGGATCTCTGCTTATCGGTTACCTAAGGGTTGCATTGATGAAATCGAAAGTATCTGTTCAGCTTTCTTATGGTCTGGACCAGACTTGAACACCAAAAAGGCCAAAGTCGTTTGGCGTGATGTCTGTTCTCCGAAGAAAGAAGGAGGACTTGGAGCAAATGATGTCTGGGTTTTGAAGTTATTCTGGAGGATTCTTACTGTCAAAGACTCCTACTGGGCACGTTGGGTTCACTCTCGGTATATTCAGGGATCGTCAATTTGGGCCATTAAAGATCCTAAAAGCTCTTCACCAGGATCGTGGATGTGGAAACAGATACTGAAAATCAGAGACAAAGCGAAGGAGTTTGTGCGAATGGAGATTCGAAATGGGAAGAATACTTATCTCTGGTTTGATCACTGGACCTCGATGGGGCGACTAGTGGAGTTAACTGGAGAAAGAGGGTTCATAGACCTTGGTCTGAGCTCAAAAGCAACAGTCGCCTCTGCCCTCTGTTCTCACCGGAGAAGGCATCATCGATACCCCATTTTTAACAAAATAGAGGATGAAATCTCTGCAATCCGCACTCGCTACAAGCCAGATGAGGAGGATGTTGTTCTCTGGAGATTGAAGCTTGATGAGTATAAGCCTCGATTCAGTACGAAACAAACTCGGGACCTATTATGACAATCACGCCCTCTAGTACCATGGAGAAGAGTGGTGTGGTTTACTCATAATACTCCCAAATTTGCTTTCAACACCTGGATCACTATTCTTAACAGACTCCCGACTGGAGACCGAATGTTGACATGGAATGCGCAGCTATACACTTCTTGCGTTTTTTGCCTTCATCCAATTGAATGCAGAGACCATTTATTCTTCGATTGTCCATACACTTCCCAGATTTGGAATGCTTTAGCAAGAGGAATACTTAAGGAAAACTTCACCTGCTCCTGGGAAGAATTACTGAGTTTCCTTACTCACCAGAACCATGGTCGCCTGAAAAACTTCATGACCAGGTATCTTTTCCAAATGACCATCTACCTTATTTGGGGAGAAAGAAATGGTCACAG